TGAAAGTGGGATTGGTCAAGACCTATCTTCTACACGTGTAAATCCACGGAGGCTACTTTATGTCAATGAATGGGTCGCCATGGAAACACTGTGCACTTATGTGAACATTTTGCAATTCAGCACAAGCCGTTTGTGGAGTCAAGTCAACCTGCCAAGAGTATCTTTGATATATATGACTTTGACAAGAGAGTTTGTTTTTTGCATGATAAAAGATTAACACTTCACATTCCTGTCAACATTCAAAATATTAAAAAGTTAGGGAAAATTTCAAATAAGAATTTGAAGTGCCTCATTTTTTTAAATAAGGGTTTGAAGTGGATCCTGTCTCAAATAAGGATTTTTTTTCTGTCAGAAAATAATGATTTCAAATGCCCTCATTTTCTCCAATAAGGGCCTAAAGTAGACATTGTCTTGAATAAGGGCCTGAAGTGGCCATATCAGTTTCAAATAAGAACCTGACCCCGCTGGCTAAAGGGTATTTTCATCTTTTATCTTTTTTATTCCTTTTCCTTTTTTTTTCTTTTTTTCTATTTTTTTGTTTTCCTTTTCCTTTTCTTTTTTCTTTTTTTTCCCTCTTCCCTTCGCCGGCCATCACCACGGCCGGCAGATGTCGCCGGCCTTAGGCGAGGGCTACCCTCACTTGGGCTAGCGAGCCCAGGCGAGGGAGAGGGCGACCCTTGCAAAGCCCAAGTGAGGGTGGCCCTCGCCCAATGCTGGCGATTGCAACCCTCCCCCTTGCCAGCCTCGGCGAGGGCGGCCCTTGCTTGAGGCCGGCAGAGGTCCCCGGCCAGGCGTAGCAATGACTAGGGAGGGAAGAAGAAAAAAGGAAAAAGAAAAAGGAAAAAGGAAATGAAAAAGAAAAGAAAAAGAAAGTAAAATTTTTAAAAAAAATATATATTTATAATATTTTTAACTAAAATACCCCTTCTCCGAAGACGGAATAGTCATCAGTCGGTCAAAAGTCTTTATTTGAGACAATTTGGCCACTTCAGGTGCTTATTTGAGATAATATCCACTTCAAGCCTTATTTGAGAAAATGAGAGCACATCATGCCCTTATTTGGAATTTTCCCTAAAAAATTATGCAACAAGTTTAGTTCTATGCATTACTATATGTAGCTGTGTAAGTTTCGAAATTTTTGGGCAAAAGGACATTACAAATGCCATAAGTTGTGTACGGAGGACACTTTGGTGCCATAACTTTTTTTCGGAACACTTTGGTGCCAAGTCGGAGGAAAAGAGATCACTTAAGTGCCAATTTTGCCGGAAATCCGACGTGGCATTTTTTATTAATTTTTTACGTCGACGTGGCAGCCACCGGCAACCGGCCGGCGAAGGGAGAAAATAAAAAAAAGAAAAGAAAGGAAAAAGGAAAGAAGAGAAAAAAATTATTTAAAATAAAAAATGCTGACTGTACATGCTGACTCATCCTCCGGCGAGCCACGTCGGCGTAAAAAATTAATAAAAAATGCCACGTCGGATTTCCGGCCAAATTGGCACTTAAGTGATGTCTTTTCCTCCGACTTGGCACCAAAGTGTTCCGAAAAAAGTTATGGCACTAAAGTGTCATCCGTACATAACTTATGGCACTTGTAGTGTCATTTTGCCGTATTTTTGAATTAAAAAAAATGTCGAACTGCTTAACGCACAAATTTCACATTAGACAAGAACTAAAACGTAGAATAAATCAATCTAGACACGTTCGAGAAGAAGTCCATGATACTCAAATTTCATCAGAAGTTCATCATAAAGGATGTACACCATGATTAACTAATTAGGTTTATGTTAGGCGTGTAAATAGAAAGTCCAAAGTTTGAAAATCCGAACCGGCCTAGCTTGAAGCTTCACTTGTGAAGCCCAAATATCTCGCCCTGAGATATTCAATAATTTCGTTTTATTTATTTTTAGTATCTATAATAAAAAAGAATTCGGAAAATTGTTTGACAGTTTTCATTTCAAAGTAGAAAAATATTTAATTGTTCAATTGAACTTACTAATTGATTAAAATATTGCAATAATGAGTTTTTCCATATTGTACTTGCGGGCCTTATTACTCTACCCAGATCAAACGTTATGATTCAAAGTCGGAGAGTAGGAATTTCGCTTTCCACTTTTTTGCGTAAATTTTTTTTTTAAATTTTTTCAAAAGAAATTTTGCAAAAAATGGGCTTTAGCCTGAATCATTCCACGCTTGGTTTGTTCAAGCTACTCAAAGAATCACTCTTGGCCCGATCTGCCAGGCCACGTTGGCACCCCTATCATCTACTTGGGTTTACCGGGCTAGACAACATTAATGCCCTTTCTTTTGGCTATCGATGTTCACAAAATATGGTACTACCTTAATATGTATGTCCATGTGCTCACCACCTGTGAATCACACTTTGTATTCCACATTAGCTATTAGTGGTAATCAATTCTAAGGTAGTTGGGTTCCCAACTTAGAACTGAGATTCAATCTTGTGACTCCTTTTAGAACTGAAACCCAAACCGATCGATTCTTGAACTGCCAATTCCTAAACCGGTCTGTTCTATTCGGGAAGTGGTCAAAGCACAATTCTGAAAAATGTGCAAAGCAAATGGGAATGTGGAGAGACACGGATCCCGCGACTTTTTAGAACACTTAGCATGAAAACACTCAATTTGACCAAACAAGAGTGCCTTCTCATTGAAAAAAAGAACCAATATGACTAACAAAAAATGGGAAGCGAGAAGAAGTTACCTTCTCTTCCTAAGGTTGAGGGACTGCGTCTCAAACTTCTTTTAGCAAGAAAAGAAAACAACAGCTGGAGAGAAAACGGAACTGAAAGAGAGGGGCAAAGTTGCTTTTACCTCCCATCCTAAAAGCTGAAGAGTGATTTGGGTTTAGGTCCTCCATGCGTCAAGGAGACTCACCATTTATGGCGGAGGATTTTCTAGTGCTTCCACTTGCGAGATAGAGCTAGGGCTTGCTCGGATCGCTCTTGGTGTCTGAAGTCCTCGACGACGAGCAATGGTGGGGCACTCTAGGGGAACTGAGCAAGGGCGATGAAGCAGATGAAGGAGCAGAGCATTTTGGAGAGGCCGCCGATTTGCTTGTGCAGCACTCCTCCTCGATTTGCTTCTCCTTCTGCTTAGCCATTCTGATGGACGTTTGTCTTCGTTTGTGGGTGTGTTAATACTTGTGGTTTAGATAAACACCCGATTCCCTGGTAGAATCGGTGGTCTGTCCTCGAAATTGAGATCGAACCGATCCTAGCAGATTTTGAATTTTCAAAAGCAAGAACCGAACCGGTTTTCTCTGAAACCAACCTTGAACCGGTTGGTTGGTCCAGATAGGTTGTGTCCTCTTCCTAGATTGAACTCGGACCAGTACTCACCCTAATAACTATACATGCTTGTGTATGTGATGTCGTAGGGGTTTTGCAGAAGGCAAATTCATATATTCTTGTATATTGGAACATATTGTGATTGATAAATCCAGATGACTTTGTTAAAAGGTGCCATTGATGAATGTTAAGAAACAAAATAGGAAATTGTTTTAATTTTCGATACATTGACTTTCCTCATAACATGGACTAGCATTTTCTGATGTGCTAAACATAAATAGATTCGGATGATTTTTAGCAGGAGAATATGTATATAAGCTCCAAATATATGGATGTATGCTCCATAAAAGAGGAGATTTATTAAGTGACCATCCAAAGATATCAAATTTTAATTATTAATGATAGGTAATGCTCTCTTCACATTTTAATTGAAACTGAAATGAGACAAGATAAAGGTGTAGCCAATAAAAAGAAAGAAAGGACACTACAAGTGCTATAAGTTGTGTACAGAGGACATTTTGGTGCCATAATTTTTTTTCGGAACACTTTGGTGCCAAGTCGGAGGAAAAGAGATCACTTAAGTGCCAATTTGGCCGGAAATCCGACATGGCATTTTTTATTAATTTTTGACGCCGACATGGCTCGCGCGGAGGATGAGTCAGCGTGTACAGTCAGCATTTTTTATTTTAAATAATTTTTTTCCAGCGTGTACAGTCAGCATTTTTTATTTTAAATAATTTTTTCCCTTTTTTTTCCTCTTCTTTCCTTTTTCCTTTCTTTTCTTTTTTTTCTTTTCTCCCCTGGCCGGCGAAGCCCGAGAAGGGCTGGGCGAGGGCGGCCTTTCCCATGGCCGGCGAGGGGCGGCCTCGCTAGATCTGGGAGAGGTGACCCTCACCGGCGACAGGCGAGGCCGCCCCTCGCCGGCCATGGGCGAGGCCGCCCTCACCCAGCCCTTCCCGGGCTTCGCCGGTGGCCGGGCCGGCCACTGGCAACCGGCTGGCGAGGGGAGAAAAGAAAAAAAAGAAAAGAAAGGAAAAAGGAAAGAAGAGGAAAAAAATTATTTAAAATAAAAAATGCTGATTGTACACGCTGACTCATCCTTCGGCGAGCCACGTCGGCGTCAAAAATTAATAAAAAATGTCACGTCGGATTTCCGGCCAAATTGGCACTTAAGTGATCTTTTTTCTTCCGACTTGGCACCAAAGTGTTCCGAAAAAAAGTTATGGCACCAAAGTGTCCTCCGTACATAACTTATGGCACTTGTAGTGTCCTTTTACCCAATAAAAAGTGGGTCGAGTCAACAAGTGTCATTCGCACTTAATCAAATATGTATTAATACGGAATGAATTTTCAAAATCTCTATACATTGGACACGAGAAAAGCCCCTATCTTGGAAATGATAAAATTTGTTTAAAATTGATTGTTTAACAAATACTTTTTTGGGCATATGTAAGTAAAATCCGAAAAAAAACAGAAGAAATCTGATGTAACAGCTGTCGTGGGGAGCGGTCCACACGAGCATTCCTCGTAATGTGATTGGGTGGCAGAGTTATTCCTCGTAAGCGCTGACACAGGGAAACATGTCGATAACGTTAAAGCGATCGAATCATTTCTCGAAGCACCAAAACAGAAACAGAGGAACCTGAGAACGGTAAAGAAAAAATCCAAAGACAAAGACAAAGAGGAAGAAGAAAGGGCCTCCGGTTCTCGGGCACAGCCGCTCAGCCGGCGCTTCCGTGGCTGTGGCGGTGGACCGGTGGTTTCAGCCGTATCTTCTCCGGACAACAAACAAACCAACACATCTACGACGACGACGAAGACCCCATTTCCAAGATCGCCGAATATCTCGCTGCGTAATCCAAAAAATTTCTTCTTCATCTTCTTGTTCGTGTTCTCCGAGACATTGGGAGCGCTTCAAAAATCGAGCACTCCATCCATTTCAATCTGCTTCGATCTGCGATTTCGGGCTTCGGAACTCTCAGGTTTTTGTTAGCTCTCATTTCCAGTCCATTTATTTCCCATATGAATGGTTGCGGGTTCTTGTATTCGGGCGTTCCTGGAAGGCGAAATTAACGAGTGAATGATCGCCGAGTTAGAAGACGTTCCCTATTTGAATCTGCATGTTTATCACGAAACTCTCGTTCTCGGATGTAAAATGATCCATCATTGTTGAATTTAGAGACCCGTCTCCTGACTTCAAGGATTTCGATGGAAGCTCATGTGCGCTTGGTTGGCTTCGTAGTTCAAGCTTCGTAGTCGAACATTGTGACCGCTGAAACCGGGCGCAAAATGCATATCAAGAGCATTGTGCGCGAGCTCTGGGAGATGCGAGACGGGATTGGAGGCACGGCGGGGAGGAAACTCGAGCGGAGACATGCGCATCGTCAGGGGAGATCGCACATTGCTCCTGAAACCACGGTTCCTATGCCTTGGCGTGAGGAGGCGGTCCGGCAGGGGCCATGGGCTAATTTGCCTCCCGAATTGTTGCTTCACATAATAAAGCGCGTCGAGGCGAGCCAGATCTTGTGGCCATCTCGGAGAGACGTCGTTGCTTGTGCCTCGATTTGTAGATCGTGGAGGGAGGTCACCAAAGAGGCCGTGAAGACTCCGGAGCAATGTGGGCGGCTGACTTTCCCCATTTCTCTGAAGCAGGCAAACTCTTTTTGCTCTCCTTGAGTCCTCTTTTGCGTTTGTGTTTTCTGGCTCATGCACTTGTTGTTTTCCCCTCTCTGCTTAGTTTCTGTAACTGACTTCAAATTAACTCCTTTTCTCTTCTTTTCTTTCAGCCAGGACCTAGAGATTTTCCAATCCAATGCTTCATTCGCAGGGACTCGGAAAATTCAACCTTTTTCTTGTATCTCGGTTTGAGCCCCGGTAAAGAGTTTGTTGCCAATCATCATTGCCAATATTCTTCTGGGTTTATGGACCTGAATGAGACTAGGACTATGTGCGGACTTTGTAAGTGGAGTTTCAAAAAACGTAGTTTCTACGATTTGGCGTAAGTATGATCTTCGTGAACCGGTCAATTTACCAAATAATTCGCGTTCCTTGTCTTTTGAAGCTTTTCTTGTTTTTGTCATTTTCATTTGCCAACTCTAGGCCTCATATTTGTCTCTAGTGTCCGGCTTTCCCTGATTTGTAGAGATTGCATATTTAGGATGGTTGTAATAGGCATTAGAAGAACCTCTGCTTCCTAATAAATAGATCGCTCGGACATCATACCTTTCTTTTCTAAAAAGCCATTGATGAAATTTAGTATGTAGAAGTGTTTCTTTGAATATTGAACTGTTTTGATCTTGAAACATGTTATCGCTTTAACCATGGAATATTGATGATTACAGGCCTATCTGAGGAGAGGAGCAAACTGCTTTTGGCTGCAAGAAAGATCAGAAGGGCCATGAGCACAGATTTTGTAATATCATTAGTAGCAGATGATTTTTCTCAAGCTGGAACTTCTTACGTTGGCAAACTGAGGTTGGTTCTATCGTTTGTGTTGGGTCCGTTAAGTTTTTCTTGTGTCTCCCTCCTCAGTTTAATTGTGAATTTTCTGGCAGGTCTAATTTCATAGGGACGAAGTTCACTGTTTACGACAGTCAACCTCCGCGGGATGCTGCAATACAATCAAACCAGAAGTCTCATGAAAGAATGAACCCGAAGCAGGTGTCTCCAAAGGTCCCTTCTGGCAAATTTAGTGTGGCCACCATATCTTACGAGCTTAATGTTCTCCGAAGCAAAGGCCCAAGGAGGATGCACTGCAACATGCATTCAATTCCCAGCTCTGCAATACAGGAAGGCGGTACAGCCCCGACACCGACAGAATTTTCAAAGAGCTCTGTTCAGCCATTCTTGCCACTGCCGCCACTGCCCGCTTCAAATGGAAAGAAGCAGCTCGAGAAGCATAGCTCCACCAGCCTCGAGCCGTTTAAGTCAACCCTTGGTGCATGGGATCCATTAACTCTGAGGAACAAAGCTCCTAGATGGCACGAGCAGCTTCAGTGCTGGTGCCTGAACTTTAGAGGCCGCGTCACGGTGGCCTCTGTCAAAAACTTTCAGCTAGTCGCTGCCTCAGAACCTTACCAAAACATTCCCGCTGCAGAACACGACACTGTGATACTGCAGTTTGGGAAGATTGGCAAGGACATATTCACTATGGATTACCGCTATCCTCTCTCTGCCTTTCAGGCCTTTGCAATCAGCTTGAGTAGTTTTGGCACCAAGCTAGCCTGCGAATGACCTCCGTCTCGGATTTGTCTTTTTCTCTGTCGCCAAGAGAGTGATGGCATTACTCCAGTTGTTGATTGTACATAGTTTTCCATCAAAGAGATGTTCTTGACAACTTTGGTAGTTCCGAGTAGTGTCTGCTGCATTGAAAGAGACAACATATGTCTCACTGTTACCAATATTTTATTTTGAGCTCGAACTTCTGCTAGCATCGGCTTGCAGATGATAGGCATTGTCGGATGACTGGGATGTCGCTTGACTCCGTGGATCTTCTAGTTGTGTACTAAGCTCGTGCGATACTTTTGAATATACTTCTGGTATATCTTGATAATTTAACTGACTTAACTTTAGCGCTGTGGGTTCTGCATATGATACGAGATAGGAGTTGGAAAAATTACCAAAGAAGTCCTAAACCTAGTGCAATTGTGCCGATTAAGTTTTAAACCTCATTTTTTTTTTACCAATTTAGTTTTAAATCTTTTGCATTTGTGTCAATTCAGTCCATCCTGCCAATTTTGGCCGATCGACGCTGACATGAACGCCGGCTGTCTTACGTGGCACAGCCGATACTATTGTGGACAATTTTTAATAATGCTTTAACTTTTTTTCAATTTATTTATTTATTTTCGTTTTCCCTTTTTTTTTCTTCCGTTAATCTTCATCCTTTAGCAACTAGCCAGAGGTGAAGGTCGGCGAGAACGACCTCGTCGTTGCTAGGCGAGGTCGCCCTTTACAGCATATCAATGGGAGATTATTCCAAGCAATTTCCTATGACATTTGCTGATTCATTGAGGTGGTTATTCTTTGGTAAAAGCTGGTGTTGGAGAGATAAACCGCAAGGTTGAAGAGTCAAGTGTTGACACATGATTTTTAGCTCATTCTTTCAATTTTTCCAAAAATCACAAAATTAGGATTAGTAGCCTTGGCCAAGCTTAGGAACCTATTTCTAAACCAAAAATAAATTTTTTATAATTTTCCTTAATTTTTCCTTACTTTCTTTTAGTGAAAATAATAGAGAAAATCAAGAAAAATAGCAAATGGAATCCAAAAATTCCATAAAAATAGTCATTAGTCTTATTTTGAATCCAATTTCATCAATACATCATCAATTTTAGAAAATTTCAATTGGGAACATGCTTTTCCAAAATTGGGTAAAATTAAGCCCAAATTAAATCAAAAATTCAATTGAGTCATTTCTGGTCATTTCTAGGCTATAGTGCCTTCACAACAAATGATTCTGGAACCTTAAATTACATAATGGTCATTCCATCTACACAATTTACCAAAGAAACCGAAAAGCCCCAAAATTCAATTGAAAATTAGGGATTATAAGCCCAAATTGGGGATCATGATCAATTTGAAATTGTTGAACTTTGAGACCATCATTTTTAGGGTTAATCAATCATGGGTAATCCAATTTTTGCATCAATTTTGCCCAATCAGGTCATCTAGATGTTAAATTGAACAAAAACCCTAATGATCCAAATTTACAATTTGAGAATTTTGAGTTTAATTGTGACAAAAATTAGGCCAAATCTCTTATTTGGGTGCAAAATGTGATGAGGAATCTAATTTTGGGGTTAAAATTGAAAAATAGGGCCAAAATCGAGTCGAATTTGCAAATTTAGACCAACCTGGGTCTGCCGGGTCGGCCTTCTTCCTCACCCGTCTCACCCAGAACGTTCTAAACCCAAAAAAAATATCCTGTGCCCATGACTTTGCTGACTTACCTAGAACGATTAAGCACGTGTTAAACTCCAAATCTAGCTAGATAATCACCAGGTGACATTAGAGATTCAATCTAACCGATTCGAAGTCGATGATAATCAACTTTGGGCGGGAAAATCAAGCTAGAAAAAGAGGGAAAAACATTATCAATCGCATACCGGACGCTCGTGAAAATTCCAAAAAGAAAGAGAAAGAGAGACGAGCGCTAAAGAGGGAATTCGAGTGCAAGACGAGTAGAGTCTCCCGGAGACTGAGCGATCAGCGCTTTTCCTGGAAAAGCGCCAACAAATCGGTCTTAATGGTGAGTTTCCTCACCAGAGAACCTGTGGCGAGGCTAATCATCATCGCCTGAAAATCGCGATCGGCCGGCAAGTCCAAACCTTTCCAGGCAAAGTGGAAGCCACCAGTTTGGAGCCTAAGTGTTAAGGAAGAGCTCCACAATCGTCATTTGCCTCGGAAATTTCATTTGATCCTCCGATGAAGAAGGTAAAGTCCGATCATGCTCACCGTCTAATAAAATTTCCAAAATAGGTTTTAGCTTGATCATGTATGTTTCTTCGCGATTTTGCCATGTTAGATGCTTAAAACATATTCTAATCACATTTTTATTGCTTGCTTGCATTTTGAATGGTTGAATATGCATAAAACCGAGTCGGCTGCCATTGAACCTTGCCGGAGCTTCTGAACTTCGCCGAAGAGCCTCTGTTTGCCATAGGCCATGTCACGCCCCTAACTCCACGGTACGCAACATCCCTACCTTGGTCGATTAAGGTGCGACGTCCCAGGAAGCGTCGCAGACCCAACGCCCAAATAGAGAACAAGCACAAGCGGAAGCAATAAATAAACAACCCTGACAATTGAAATAAGAGATCAAAGTAACCACACAACAATCAACACTGCTGAAAATAAGTACACTTTATATTACTGATCAAAAGCTCTTTTACAGCATTTATATATATATACACACACATCATCATTTGCATCCAGCTCAAAAACCTACAAACAGCCACTACAGGCAAAAAGGATCGGTGGCTAGGGTGAGTCGCCTAAACCTACGAGGACTGCAGTAAAAAAGGAACGATCCTCCTAATCAAACTCTGGTTCCTCCTAAGGCTCCCAGTCCGGGTCCGAAGACTCAGTAGGCTCCTCTGAGGATCTCTCACTCGGCTCGGACTCTTCTGACTCTGTGGCCTGGGCTGCTGCTTGCTCATCCTACGAGTCTATTTCTAGCTCCGGATCCAGGTATAGACCTAACTCTTCATCAGACACCATCTCTTCATCTGATCCTAACTCAGCAACCTCTCCATCCAAATTCGGATCTTGATCCATAGGCTTCGGCACCTGCTCTGGCTCGACCTCCTCGTCCATTGCCTCGGGGTCCTCATACCATACTCCTGGCTCCTGGTCCATGGCTACAGGCTCGTCTGCGGCTGCAGGGTCCACTATTTCGCCATCGGCCATCTGGGGTATCATCACCCCGCCTATATCTACCGGAACGTCAAAAGTCCTAAGAGGTCTCCCGATGATTCTGTCGGCGTCTTTCAGGCACCAGGCCACATACTCCTAAGTCTGGTAAAAATACTCACCCACGTTTACAAACACTACGGAACTGTATCTCACATACTCCTCCCCATGTCCAGCTGGGTACACCCTCGTAGTCCTATGGATCTGCGTCGGGATCCCAAAAAGAGGTGGCTGCTTCGGCATGCTCAGGGCTGGGGGTCTGAAAAGTTGGGTTATTACAACTGTGAGACGAATCTCAGAGAGTACAACCCCTAAACCTAGGCTAGGCTAACATGCATTCTCCTGACAGACAAACAGGCAAAACAACGCATAACATATGCAAATCAATTGACCTAGGCCCTCAGGCCCAGATCGAACGTACCACTGACCCTGCAGGTTAGGCATTTCATTATAATACTCACGGCACATACGCGAGCACACCAGTCATACGTACGCCATACGCATGATCATACTCATTAATTTTTGATTCGCATGCCAATCACCGAGTCTCGCACACTCGCGCACTAGCCCATGCACTCTTATGCATGTAAATGTCATCATCATGCCATGTTTCATATTGGCTCACACTACACACTGGCATACAGCTCATTTTTAGTTAGAAACCGACCCGAAGGCCACGGCCCGAAGGCTCACAACACTCCATGGCCAGCGTAAAAACGCCCCAGGCCCAGTGTCTCTAGCCTGCTACAAAGTGCATGAGGCGCAACACCGATCTCCTTACGAACTAGAGCCTGCTACAAAGTGCATGAGGATGGTCGTCTTCCGGACGTACCGAGCATCGCCCTGTTACAAAGTGCATGAGGACGGCACGACCCGAAGGCCAATAAGTGATCACACGGCACATTGTCAATTTTTATCTGAACCCCGCGTAAAACGCATCAGGGTATAATTAGGTGATCACATGCTCATGGCAGACACGCATTATCGCACGATTTCATCACACGCCTCATTCTTGGCATAAACAATGCGTGGCCATGCAATGCAAATACAATGCAACATGAGCATCACATATCTCACTCAAGTATTCAATCAATCCATGTCGCCATAACGTACTCAACTGGCCAATTTAATACCGTGCGGCCCAATGTACAATTCACCAATCGGTACGCAATTTAGGTCATCAAATAACCAATCACACTCCGCACAATTTGGCCACATGAACACACGACATGGCAATACCAAATTCACTGCAATTGAACACCAACAACTATTAATCAGTCAACCCGGGGCATACCCGGTAATTCAGCCAATCAATTCTCAATTAATCCATACCAGTCCAATAATCCACTAATGGACAACCACTATCACAGCCACTTCGAGGCCAATAATCATCCTCAGTTAAATCACATTAATTCACCAATATTATTCCAGTACAAATTCCCACCATTCCTCCAAATATTCACTAATAATACCCAAACCAGTCTAGAAAACGTACTATCAGTCCTAATCCAGGTTTAGGAGATACACTCACTTAATCCAACTTCACGACGACGAGGAACGGCGGCCGATCACCGGTGAACGGTGGAACCGGCGGCGGCGTTCCCCCGGCGGCGACGGCGACAGCTCACAGCGGCCGGCGGTACGGACGGCGTCCTTTGGCCGAACCGTACGGCGGCGATCCAAGACGGCTCTGGCGAAGGGGATGGTGAGTCGGCGGAGGGAAAGTGGTTCGGTGAGGGTGACGGTGGTGGTCGGTCGGCGTGGACGGCACACGGCGCGGCTTCCCGGCGAGCTCGGCGGACGATGGTCTGGCGGTGATCCTCACGCCGAACGTGGATGGGAGAGAGAGAAAAAAAGGTGGGACGGGATGGTGGCGAGGCTAGGCGGCGCCGGCGACCAGCAGTCCGGCGAACGGCGACGGTGGCGATACGGCGTCCTTGGTCGAGAAAGGAACGGACGGAGAGGGAGGGGGAAACGATCGCGGAGGAGGAGGAAGTGGCCGGTGGACATGAAGAGAGAGAGATAAAGGGTCAAAGTTGG